TATCAGAAATAAAGCAAAGTAGCATTGTTATTTATTTATGAAAGCAACTCAAACCATTTTTCCCTAAACATAGTCCTGTTGTGTCCATGGCAGGGAACAGTCATCATCAGCTCCTGCAGCACATAAGATGGAGTCATGGGAGGGGGCCTTTGCTGGGAGATAGTTATAGTTATACTGTAATGCAACAGTTCCCAACCTTTTCTATGTTCTGTACCCCTAGAAAATGTTTGATTTATGATTACATCCCCTGCAGAAGTAATATCACATTTGAAAATGAAATCAAATTTCTAATTTTTGAACTATAAAAATTGATCCACATACAGTACAATGGGTGAACAACTTGAACTGAAAAAAAAGATAAGCTTTTAACTCAGTGCATGAGAATCAATATAAACTGAGCAATTAGAAAAAACAGCAAAATCCATCCCAATTGTGAACATAACATTCAGTGACATCCTTGTCCCTGCTTCTCATTCATGATACTGTCCAAAGGTGGAACTTTCTTGCTGATTGTGATCCGCAAGTCTGTCTGTGGATTCAGGCGATTCCTAGATTTTGTCTTGATTGACAAAAGAACTGAATCCAAATGCAAACAAAATAATAAGAAATAATTTTATTATAGACATATTTTTCAGTGAAAAGCTGTTGTGATTCACAATTTTGGTGAACTGCAACATGGCCTTCCTCTTTGTCACACCTCCTGAATGCCATCTCACACGCCTGGGGATAGAGGTACCCCAGGTTAGGATCATCCGCTGTAATAGGTGGCCAGCAGAAGCTTGCAGACTCATTCCTGACTGCTGCTCTCGGACAGAAATGATCCAAATGGATTGATTGATTGATTGACTGATTTTAAGATAAGCTGCCACATGCACAGTGGCAATCTTGCTTTCAAGAACAAAAGCTGGTCAACTGCCAGTATCTGATTCAACAGTGGACAGGTGCATTGGTCCTGCTCTGCTCTTCAGCTAACATATGAAAATGCCTTTTCCCCAGCATGAAGTCATCTTAACCAGCTTCTGGAGATACAGACAGGAAGCTTTGCTTACTGGGGTCGAGAAGCTAGTTTGTTATTTATTTATTTATTTATTTATTTAGGAGACTTCTATGCCGCCCCATTTGCCGAGGCCTCGGGGCGGCTCACAATAATAAATAAACACAATATAAAAACAATATAATTTGAGTTGACCTGGCCAATAAATAAATAAATAAATAAAACTAACAATTAAAATAACGTTTAAATAAAAAGCCCACCAATATCAGTGCAAGTCAAAATGCTGATCCAGTAACTCAAGAAGCCTTTGCAGATGTTCATTAGTAGGAGCGACCACAGACCATCTTCTCTTTGGCATGGTTCTATGGCTACATGAAAGACACAACAACTGCTGCACAATGTTGCTTCCCCAGAATCACCAAAACAGGCCCACAAAGCTGGGAAATCACATATTAGAGGCAGAAAATACAAGCAAGAAATCCTATTTCCTTTCCTTCACTACAGCAAAAAAATATAAGGGGCTAGCAGGAGATTTGGCTTGGGATATGAGGCAGGTAGATAGTGACACAGAGGAGAAAACAATTAGCTTGGGTTGCTTTGTGATGAACAGTACAAATGCTTCTAGATTTGACCTCTGAGCTTATTCAGATAATGCTCAGAACTGTCACTAGAAATTACTACAGCATTTTCACTCTAGTAACACTTTGGTCTCCTTTGAGCATTGCATTGTTAACACAGTGAAGTTTCTTGTCCCTTCCTCCCCAGATGTTCACAGAGAGGTAGTATTGAATTGATTAATCTGGCTGCATTATAAAAGCATCTTTCTGATTTTCGTACTTGTTAATTGTCAAAAAGTTCCAGACAGCAACCACAAGTGCATGGAGTCAGCAACAATGGAACTGCAGGAATCATTTCCCTGGTGATAGGAGCTTGTTTAAGAGTATCTTCTCTGGCCTTTTCTTGCTATAAGCTTTCTTGTGGAATTTAGGTGTGATACTTTCAAGCACAAGAAACTCCCAGTTGTGCATCTTCAGGGCCAAACCAAATGCTCTGGGAAGCCTGCATAATTTAGCTATGCATTATAGGTTTTCTTATGCTGGTATCTAAATAGTCATGATTAGTGATGGAGGATGTTCACTACTGCTACTGAATCACAAAATCCCACACAGAACCCTGCAGGAGTGTGTTTTTAAAAATGGGGTAATTTCAGAAGAAACAAATGGGGAGCAAGGGTTTAACCACCCTCCCACCAGATCACTGCAATCCTGATGCTCACATTCTTACACCATTGTAAAAAACAATCATGAATAATTATCAGAACACCCTGTTTGGTCCTCAGGGTGTTTCCAACAAGACTTATATGTGCCATTGCCCTGCCTCTCAATCTCAATATTATACAGGTGGTACAGATCACATTGTCTTCCTGTCATAGCCTTTCCATGCTTCCTTACTGGTTCCTGAGGTGTCCCACTGAAGAAAATCCATTAAGGAAAGGCAGAATATCTGCACAACATTTTCTCCCTGTTAGCACTGAGGTCCTTCTGTTGAGAAGCAGAAGGACCACGCTTAGTCCTTGGGATTTTAAAAATTTATGTAAATCCATTTCCAGGTCATCTTCAGGGGCCTTTCTCTGAGAGCCCCTTCCAAAGAAAGTAAGGCAGCTGGCTATCAGGAAGAGGGCCTTTTTAGTTGTGGCACCTCAGTTGTAGAATGATCTCCCCAAAGAGGGAGATGACTACTTTGCATTCCTTATGGCATCGGGTGAAGACCTTTTCATTATCCCAGCATTCTAAGTTTAACTTTTTTACTTCGTTTTTTTAATAATGTATTTTACTCTCTACCACTGGTATGCCTCAATACTGATTTAAATTCATTTATTTATTTGTTTATCATTATTATTATAAATTTGTTAACTGCCCAGATAGCTTTGACTATTGGGCAGTATAAAACTGAAATAAATAAATAACATTCATATACATACTTTCTTTTGCTTATAGTCATAAACAAAATCCACAACATTTCAGTGAAAAAAAGTCCTATGTTAAATATCCATGGAAAACTTTGCATATCATCCAGAGATGTGGTTAGATATGTTAACCAGTTCTTACCACCAGGAATATTATGCGAATGTACTCCTTTCTTCTTTTTCCTAGATGTTCAACCCACCTGACAACCGGGTACATTTCACTTGCTTTTCTTTGTAATGAATGTAACCTAAACTCTCAGTTTTCACAAACATAAATAGACATGAAAACATAGAAACAGAACGAGTCAGAAGGGGCCTCCCAGGACATCTAGTCCAGCCAGCTCCACTCACAATATGCCAACCATGTGCATGTCTAGCCTATCCTTGGACACTCTCACTGATGGGGCCTCAACCACCTCCCGTGGAAACCCATTCCATACCCTCAGGGTCCTAACTGTCAGGAAGTAGTTCCTGGCATCTAAATTGAATCTTGGTTTCCTGAGCTTTGCTCCAAAGCAGCACATCCTGCCCTCCTCTGAGGGGAGAACAAGTCTCTACCCACCTCTGTGTGACACACCTTCACATACCTGTATGTTGCCAACAGATCCCCTTGGAGTCTCCTCTTCTCCAGGCTGAAAAGACCTAGTTCCCTCAGTCTTGCCTCATATGGCTTCCCCTGCAAACCGCCCACAACCTTGTGGCCCTGTGCTACACTGACTCTAACCTGGATGTATCCTTCCTGTAACGAGGAGCCCAAAACTGAACACAATACTCCATTCTGACAAGCAAATCATTTTTCACCCAAAGGTTACATTTCAAAGCACCCACATCATCCTGTGGCAACTGATCTTGAAAATGACCCAGAAAGTTTTGAGAGGGCGCCTGTCACCTGTTGGGAATGAGGGTGGCAGTTGTTCTTGGTGAGGGTCATGTCAATCTGTATTCCAAGAAAGAAGATGAAGGGAAGCAGGCAGAGGGAAGATGGGGTTCAAGACTGAGATGATAGCAACACTGCTTGTCTCAAGACCATTCACCCAAAGTGCTCAGATGGCTCTGAGAACAGCCAAAATGGACAGGTGTCAGGTGGGTGCATGGGAGAAGACTGTTCAGACAAATCTGGCATATTTCGTGACCATATAAGGCAGCGTCGGGAAAGGAGGGAATGCCAACTAGAGGTTAGGCATATAGAAAGGAGGCAAGTTCATATCCAAATGGGCCCTTCAGAAGAGACTGCACCCAGACATACTCAAAAGGAGGGTTTCTGGGAGCAGTTGTTCAGTTTTGGTTCAACAAACCACTCTGTGCATGCATAGAGATACATTCTGGGAGGGTTGCATTTGTTGAGTATTATTTGGTTAATAAAGAGCTTTTTGCAAGGAAAGGGTCTGTTGCCTTGAATGTGCAGAGGGTGTGTGCAAAGGTATGATGTGGGCAATGCCAAAGATAACTCATCATGCCAAATATGTTTAAAGGAAACATGTTAAAATGATTATGTGAATGAGCTCCTGTTTAAACCACTGCAAGTTAACTTTTCTATTAGGCAGACTACATAAAAAGAGATAGGAAATGTATTCTAAGCTGCCAAAAATCTGATTTTACATTACACAGTTTTCTTCACAGCTTTCTTTTTGTCCATTTTCAGATTAACGCTAAGATATGCATGCCTATTATTGTTCCTCACTGTGTGTACAGAGGGCAGCCTTGAGGCACTTCCACAGTACAAATACCAAAGCACACACAAAAAAATTGTGAGGAGCGTGTGGTGGGGAGGGAGGGGCTTGAGCCTCCGATTTCTGCCATTGACCTACATACTGTCACTTTAATTGCAAACTTCATCTTCCGTTGTGTACCAAGAGAGAGAACCTGGTATTGACATGTTGTGTTGACTTGTTTAAAAGGGAATTGTTACTGAATGTTCCTGTCACCAACAAGACACTTTTCAAAGCAGGATGTACATCTCTGGGGAGTGTTTCACGTATAAATTATTGACGCAGCAGAGACGAAGAAAAGGAAATTAAATAAATAAACAAACAAACTTACGCGTGCAGGGCATGGAGGCAGCATCGTTTTCCGCTCGGAAAAAGCCTGGGTCGCAGGTGCAAGAGGTAGAACCTTCCCAGATGGAGAAACTGTGAGGTGGGCACTTAGCACAGGCAACATCTGTCGAAAGGGCCTTGTAGTATCCAATCTTGCAAGCTTAGAGGAAAAGCGGGAGAAGAGGAGTGTTATTGATGAGGGGCTTAATAATAGACTGCTACCTCATTTATTCAGTATCTAGACATGGGGGCATTTTCAAAAGGGAGCAAATGATGTCCACTTAGCCCCGGGAGAGAAATTAACCAGCCAACAAGCACTTGATTGCTAGCTCTTCAACTAAGGAAGGCAATTTTTAATTCCAGTGAGAAGCCCTTTAACATGCAGGCCTGGAGAGCTTACAAGAGGACCTATAAGCATGCTTGTGCAGCGACTTGCTTGGAAAATCTGCCTCATTTTGTCCTCTGCATGGGTTTACTATGCAAACCCCACTTCCTTGCTTGACACCTGCAGACAGCCACACATTGCAGTAAGTAGGGTGTAGATGTTTTAATTCCATGACCACTTCAGGAAGGCAGCTGAAGGTATGACACTGCCAGTCTTTGAGGAGCAGAATATGAGCCCACTGTGACTGGCATCCCACCTCCCAGTCTGCTGCTGATAGAAATGGCAAATCTCCCTTCTGGCTGAGCCAATTAATTTTCCACCAGCCCAGAGCTGGATATATCAGTGGCTCTGCTCTTTGACACAAAGTTCTCGTGCACAGTTGGCATTCAGTGACATCAGCTTCATAAATATGAAGCTTCCATGGATGGCTACTTTTACCTCATTTGGATTTTTAAAAGCAATAAAAAACACTCTGATGTATCATTAAGAAAGTCTTTTGAACAGTGGTATGCAAACATGTCGCCTAAGAAATTTTGGCCAGGGCCAAAAAAGATGTCATTCAACGTATCAGACACTGAAAATGGTAAAGGCCATCCAGGCAGCTGCATAAAGAACAAAGAGTAAAAGAAAGGTGGATTATTGCCAATATTTACAGAATGACTCCCTTTTGTGACTCTTAATTTATCACCTAGTTTGTCTTTAGCGTTCCCTTGCAATTTGCCTACAGTAACTAACATCCCTTCACTTCCACTTTTACTTCCACTCACTGCAGTTCCTTTATCTTATTTAAACCCTCCCACTCCCTTTTATGATGCATCTGTAAAAACCATGGATTCTTGCAACACGTTTGTAAAGACACAAGTCACTTCACCCTCATTAACTGAAGCCCCTTATGGAATTCCCTGAATGATCCAAGCTTAACAAAGTGTAGTGCAACATCCATAAAAATTGCCATGAGATCAATCTTGCTCTTGCTTCCTTTGGCTGTCACTGGACCAGAGAATCTTATAAAAACACATAGCTCTTGTGACTATGATTTATGCTTTCAGAGTTTACACACATCACATAATTAGATAGGGTTCAACTTGCAATGTGCTTTCTGGCTACGCTTCAAATAGCCTTGGAGTTTGATTAAAGTTAAAAATCACAACACTGGTGAACAGATACAGTGGGGTCAAGCTCAGCCTCCCCACTTCAAACACAATTGGTCCCTGAACACAAATGCAAACCTATTGGGTACAGTCCATCATTCAGCAAGCTTTATCAAACAAAGGCTGTTTGTATAAAAATAAGATGGGCAGTTAAGAAGCTCCAATTTTCCCTAAGAAAAACTGAGCATGAAAGAGGATAGAATTACAGTATGGTTAATGGATCTGGTGTAGTTAGTAGAAACATTTGAATATTTCCTCTAGTACCATTAAGAACTGTTATTTAAATAACAAAAGTGGAGATTCTGGAAAATAGTCAGGAAAGTTTTAATGATCTTGGAACTCCCATGTATTGATATAGCAATGCTGAAGATACCTGAACCTGGACAGGATTCAGTCTAGGTCATGTTGTCTCAATTCTAGCTGACCTGCAGAATTGTTTCTAGTACAGATATTTTGGCAAAAATAATGTATTGCTGGCTATCAACTAAATATTTCAGATGGAAGTTGCATACACTGAGAACTCTACAAGTTATCCTGAAAATGGTCTCTCACACTGGGATGCTGAACCAAAGTGTTGCTTTTATACTGGAAACTTCTGTTTGCATACTGAAATAATAGCTGGTGATTGGAAGTGCACTCTTTTGACCCTACCCAAGGATAACTTCTGAATTATCCAAGATGTCTATACATCACCCCGGTGATGTAACTACAAAATCATGTTATTTCTGGACTGTCAAGAAATGTTCTTTAAATGATTGGATGCCTTTCAAAATCCTAAAAGCTGGGCATGAATGGGGGCAACAAACATCTTCTACTGTTGTTTTCCAGTAACTAGTTTGAAGTCATTGATATAGCAAAAATTTGGGCAGGTTAATGACAGGAGTCCTTCCATTTTATTGCCATGAGAAGTAAATATCCAGTGACCAGTTTCTCTCACCAAACAAAGCCGTTTTTCATACAGGAACTCCTTCAGTGAGCCAGCAATGACTCTGCAGTAAGCAATGGAAATGGATGCCTGTGGTTTTATTTTTTTAATTTTGAAAATCATTACTTAGTTTGCTGGCTCTAATATACATATAGTTTATTATGATTTTATTGGATTGAATGCTATTTGTTGATTGCTTTATGTTTCACACTGCTTTGGGTTCTTATTAGAAAGTGTCCAAGAAATATTATAAACAAAGAAAGGAATCCAAGGAAACAGAGGCCACAATCTTCACTTAATCAGACATATTCTGGCATTCATTTGTTCAGACAAAAAGCCCATCTATTTTCTGGATTTGAACATGTGGCTTCTGAGGTCTGTCGTTTGACATTTTCTTATAGACAGCTTGATACTCAAATTAAGCTGATATGACAGAAAGTGGTGAAGAATGCTGGAAGAGAGGAAATATGGAGAGGAAACCAGAACTCTACTGCTAACTCCTCAATTTACCCTGGGAACATCTTCATTGGGCTTGTTTGGTGCCTTTTAAGAGGTAGAGGGTTCTCTGAACAGGACAAGAAATGGGGCCATTTTCACAGATGACAATGAAAACTGTTTTTCAGCTTCTGTCCCACAATGTATGTCTCATTCAGATAATGTTACTGTGGGATTAAGAAAATTAAGAGTGGAGCCATTGTTAAACTGAATGTACATCTTAGCTCAAGTCGGTTTTCAATCCACATTATAAACCAATTGAAATGAAAATGCATTTCAGTCTCATCTGTGACCATGCTCTGTGAGTCACTGCAGAGCTGTTCTTTCCAAGAGGTTTTGTAGAAAGGACTTACTGAGCCCAAATTCGTTATTCTCCTGTTTGCTCCCTTTCACACACACACACCTTTTCTTGCAAGCATTACATTCTTTTCCTTTCTCCTACATTAAACTCAGTTCATTAATTTTTCAGGATCCAAGAAAAGCTCTCTGAGGCACCCAGCCATTTTGCTCAAGCAGTAGAAAATCGCATAACTGAATTCACACTTTTCTTCATTTTGCTGTATTCAGATTCAGTACATTTCAACTCTTGGCACCTTACTCTATTTGCTAATCCATTTCATTTGTTCAATGTTTCTTTACATCCTGACAGTCTTCTATGTCACAATCTAATCCAACTCTTTCAATCCCCCCCCCCCACACACACACACTTCTTTCTTCCTTTCTTTCTTACTTGGCACAGAAAAACAGCTGACACACCTATTATGACTGACCAAGCCCTATTCAATGGAAAACAAACTTAAGATATTATACAGTATTTCTGAATGTTAACGAATTGGTAGAAAAATCAGTAAGCCTGTCTACATCCCCATTTCCTGGAAGTCTTTATTGCATACTTAAGACATACTCAATCCTTCATTCTTTTCTTTCTGCTGTGAGGATTTTATGGACAGGACAGAGGGTGTGAATGGTATTCTTACATGGCTGGCAAAAGATGCCATTGTAAAAAGATTAGGTCACATGAGCAATACCAACTTTGGATTCAATTCCCTTAGCTTTGCCTTAATTAGTTCTTTCTGTTAGAAAAAGACAGAGAGTGAAACAGGGCCAAGGGGGGACATATTCTTTTATTCAGATTGCATGCTGACATGGCAAGGTTATTGGCTAAAGCATAATTGTTTTTAAGATTTTATAATGAACGTTCTGAATCTGAGAAAAGCAGAATCATAACATCCCTTACCTGTTTCAATATACCAATTTTATTTCACACACAGAAAATCTGAAATAAAAAATAAGACGCTTCTTCTCAAGAAGGCACTTCATGCTAACCAATGTTATGGTCAATCTGTTCCCCCAAATCAATGACTTTCATTTCAACACAATGGCTCCAATCTAAATAAAGTCATGTTCAAGCTGGTGTTGCATGCAGTGCCTCATGAGTCAAAGCTCTGGCAGAAAGCATTGAAGGATATGGTTACCCATCAGTGTTAAGCACTGCAGACTAATATCATGCTATGCTTTTGAAAGACGGCTATCTGGATCTATGCTTTTAACGCATGCATCCTGTTCATACCCCGTGTATGATTAATGTTCCACATGGACAAAGGCAGCAATTTTCCACGTCAAGGGATTTTTTTAAGCAGGCAAGCCAGCCCTATGTGTGTAAACATAGGACTCCTTTTCCTATAGGGAGATGAGATATTAAGTTAATCACACAGCTGACATTTTTTTTCTCGTGGTGCTGATTTGGACTGGGACCTCTGCAGTATGGGAGGGAAAGGATAAACTTCTCTTCAACACCATATCCACCTAATTCCTCCTCTCATACGCTAAAGAGGGTGTTTTTAAAAAAAGAAACCTTAAAGTTAAATCTTCCTGCCTGCACTCTTTCCCCAAATCTCCCCCACTCATGGGACCAGTGTTGGGGTGAGGTTCCCCACTAAGCCGGATTCTGGAGAAGGAACAGTATGCACATCTGTGTTGGAATGGTTTAACTTAACCTTCCTGGACTGTGATGATCCAGATCTGAATCAGGCCACAAACGCTGACACAAAACACAGGAGACACTGGCTCAGCTATACACCACGCAAGTAGCACAATGGGCACTTTGCTTCTTTTGTGGATCTAAGAACTAGAGGTGCTTGTGGATCTCCTGTCTGAAACAGCAAGGCAGGCGCTGATAGGAGTCGTCCACATGATCTCAAAGC